ATTAAAATATTTTAAAAAAGACAAAAAGGAAAAGTTTCAAATTCACAAAAAAAAAACTCAACTGAATGAATCCTTGTAACCGTCTTAGACAAATGTAACTATTTGCACACACTGTAAAATCCATCAAACTGCATGTTTTTGTTAAAACATTAAATCACAAATGAATCGGCTGCATTTATCACAGAAGAGAAAAGATATGAAAGACATGAAAAGAAGATATTCTGTGACTTTTTCAGCTTTAAAAGCAGATTTTTTAAGATACTTGTTTTACAGACWCTCCAAAGTTGTGTTTATGCATTTGTATAAATTCACCACTAGATGGCGTCATGAAAACAACAAGGCAGGTGTCTCAAAGCTGCAACAGTTCACCTCCTGCACCTGGAAGTTATTTTAAAACAAAAGGTGACGTTCACACTTGTTGGTATTGAAATATCCACCAAAGCAAGCAGACGACAATAAAAAAGGTAATAAAAGCCAATCTAAAACTGCTTTGTGTTTTCATATTTTCACATTTTCTGGCTCAACTTTGCATTTTTTCCACAAGAGGAATGTTGTAAGAAAGGATCTTAATTGCTTCTTCTAAATAATAAATAAATTGCACAGCACTTTGTTTTGTTATTTATTTAGATATTAAATAAACTCGTGAATAAATAGGAAAAATCTTAAGGGTAATTCCATAGACTTTAAATAACATCAGCTCATGCCTCTTGCAGAGGAGTCGAGTGGCAGCCAGCAACTGGATCATCATGGTGGTAACACTGTAAGTAGCAGCACCAATAACCCATCCTAAAATGTTTATCTGCCTAAACAGTTGGCACATAACAAAAATTACCAAACAGATCATAAACAAACATACTTTTAGAATAATGGCTTTTGAGAGTTTTAAACAGGCTGCCTTTTTATTACTTTCGARAGGAACTACGCTGCAATGCTAATGCTTGCCTGGATGAAAACAGAAAGAAAAGAAATGATGTTTTTACTGTTGTCTATCATTCTAACCTCGTCTATAGCAATGCTACAGCTGACAATGTTTTTATTAGAATGTTTTARTATTGAGAAAAACTATGTTATTTGTTGTTGCTTGTGTAATATTTAATATTCACCACCAGGAGGAGCTGTAGCCCGAGCAGACCCCTATTTCTGATTCAGTTGGTTTAGATAGCAGTAATTAAACATAAATAAAGAAGCACGTAATTTAAATATTATTTAWTTTAAAACAGRATTTGTTGTTTACAAATACAAATGTTGTACATAAAGTGGAAGCAAAAATATTAAAGTTTTACTAAAAGAAAAATATTCTACCACAGATGTTGGAAATATAAAACACGTTTGCCACAATATGAACCCTAAAGATCTCCAACAAACCCACAGTTTATTTGATTGTCTGCAGGCATTTAGCTTGTTTTACTGACCTTTTTAAAAAAAATATCCCCAAACGTCTCTTAACTATGAGAGGAAATAAACTTTGTGCAGATCAAATATACAGGTGCGAGGAGGAAGCAGTTTGCTTTATTTTCATGAAGTCGTCAGTGCATTCAGCGGACCTGCAGCTGAGGCGTCTCAGGCAGCCTGTTTGAGGAGATTTGACTGAGTGTCCTGCAGGAGTGTCGCTTCCTTTTCTGATGCTTTGGACTTTTTTCCAGATCCCCTGTGTTCGCAACAGAAAAAAAAATAAGGATTATGAATAAAACTTTTTATCTGCCTGCAACTGTTTGAGCAAACCCTGAGCAGATCTCTACCACTAACCACACCAAAAGTTGTCCTGTTGCTAAACGATTGCTTTGACCTCCCTCTGGAAATGGCCGCTCCTACCTTTCCTCCACATCTTGAATTGTATCAGGAAGGTGTGTGCCAAGAGTTTCTGGTAGAAAAATGGCCGCCACCCCAGAAAGGATTGGAGCTCCTCCATAGATCAACCCTGGCAGCCAGGGTATGTAGTCCCCAGTGAGCTGGACCATGGGGGCTACCATYGCTCCGACACGCGCCCACATGGAAACCCATCCCATGCCGTTTTGACTGATGAAAGAAAGAGTCAGACAGGACTACACATTAAACTATTTCAGACATTATTTAAAGCTGTTTTGGGGTCTTGTAATCAGGCAAAATCAAGAAAACGTCAACAGCTGCTGAGGCTGTAACATCACTACTAGGGCTGTGTATTGGTAAGAATTTAGTGACATATATCATGACATAGGGATCACAGTACATTATATCATAATACAGTGCCATAATAAAAGTAATAAAAAAACAACTCATGTTTTGTGTGTATTTTCATATCCATATTTCTTATTTTAGACATGTTTTAGGTCTAATGTGCCAATAAGTAGTTTGATAATATACGTATTTGTGGCCGCTTTATATTTATAGTAATTTATTATAAAAATATGGTCACCCACCACACTAACAACAGACTAATGTGGGTCTCATCTGCTCAGGTTCAGTCATCGGTACTTAGTGCTAACTTTTACTCACAATGCTAACGTTGGAGCTAGCATTATACTCTCAGGCTCTGGAGGAGCCAAATGGCTGACTGTTCACTGCCAACTAGCAATCAGAGGTTAGAATACAACACAAGAATGAACCGCAGGCATGAAAATTTACTATTRAAGCCTTCATTAAATTTTGACACAGTGCTTTAAAGAATCGATACATCGGGAAATGAAATATCACAATATGCCAGTGTATTGATATTTTCTTACAGCCCTTATTGCTACTTGCTTACTCTATCCAAGCTGGTGCATTACCTCTGCCAAGGYGGATAAAGGAAATTGCCTTGGCAGAGGTTTGAGCTCTGCGAGTGTTTCTAGTTTATAACGTGTCTTCCTTTGGATTTATAAAACAATTGCGGCTGGTCACCACAAAACCGCTTACAAAGTTTACATAGGAGAAAGAAACATCTTATAGACAGATTTTTCTGTTAAATTTCTGCAAACCCAAAGATCGGTATGGTGCCCTGAGGTGTCACCAAACAAAAGAAGGCATCAGAAAACCAAACAGCATCATTTTAACGTCTTTTAGCTAAATGCCCACTTGTAATGGTAAAACTACTGGTCTGAGACCAGGTTGTGTCAGGAAGGGCTTTCTTCGCAGAACAACAACCAAATCTTTCGTGTTAGTTGGCTCACTGTGGCAAACCCCTGCAGCAAGGAGCCGTCTGAGCCTRAGGGACATTTGGAAGGCAAAGCCAAAGAGCACATTTTTGTCTAATTCTAACTCAAATAATCACAATGCGGTCCCAGACTGTTAACATTTCTGCAGGTAAGTTAACTGCATCATGAAAAGTTCAGAGCGTTCTTTGTATTTGACAAAAAATTGCCAAAAAAAAAAGATTATTTCAAAACCACTAAGGATTAATATTTAAACAGAATTTCAAACATGATTGAATTGTGTTTCTTTCACAAAAGTGCTTCCATATATGAAGGCTGAAGAAGTAGAGTTAATTACATCACACTGATTAAAACTCTGCCTAACAATAAACACCCCTGTATCTGTGTTTGAAAAGGGCCTCAGCTCTAAAGGAGCACAAATAATCAATGTTTTGGTCCCAAAGACCTTTCCCAACCTTGTAAAATAAATAAATGTTAGACTGATATGTTTGTGTCAGGGGATTGGGTTTCTTTAAACTCTGGATTTTGCACCAAAATCCCATATCAGTAGTCTTTTGTTTTTCTTGATTTCTTTTWAGTTTGTTTTTGAGCTGTGACTCTGGGTTTTGATGAATGTCAGCCTTTTTCCACCAAATCGATACAATTAGTGTAGGTACTGACTTTTTAATTTTTTTTTATTTATATATTTTTTTCCTGCTTTAAACATTTCCACTGGGAAAATTTTTGCTCAGAACAGGGAACAGCATGTCATGTAATGGCCGAGTGTAGTCAAGTTGAAAAAATATACTGTCATAAATAATGTGTTTGCATTATTATAGAGGAGGGATATGTTTTTACTTTATTGGTTTAAAACATTTGTTTCTGTGCAGCTCGCTCAAAGTATTTCAATCATTTTTGAGATCTGAACTTTGAGCCGTTGCAACACATAGATTATTTTCCTTTTCAGTCATCCTGTTGTAGATTTGCTGGTGTGTTTGGAATCATTGCCCCATAGGATGACCCCCTTTTCAGCTTGTGTGCAGACAGATATATTGTAGATGGTTTGACTTTAGAGTACTTTAGAATAGAGTTAGTATGAAGGGATTTTTAGTTTTTCGGTTAAACAAGGAGCTGCATATTCTAGCCAAATGTCTTCATTTTGTTCTTGTCTGTCAAAAATACTTTGTTCCAGAAGTGTTGGTGTTTGTTCAGATTTAATTCCTCAAACTGAATTTGTGTTGTTTTTAAAGAGAAGAGGCTTTATARCAAGAAAAACATCATTTTTCCAGGACTGCTCATGGTTCCTGATACTAACTTAGTGGAGTACTTTAGTTTAGATGAGCCTGATTGTTACTGATAATCTTAAATTCCATCAAGTAGTGAAGGGRGCACGTTTTCACAGACTGGTTCTGCAATTTAGTTTTGTTTTTTGTTAACAGGGTAGGTCATCTGATGTTGTTTTATCAAATATTAAAACCACCATATTTTTTATGTCCTGATTGGCAAACCCTTGAAGTATAAAGTACCAAGCTTGTACATATTTTGGTGGCTTTTTCCAGTTTAGTTTGAAACTCTTTAGATCTTGTMTTTAGTGAGTATTGTTAATATTTTCATCTACTGACTGAACACCAACTCGTAACAGATTTCTACAAGTTTGATTTTAGCCTGAAGTTAAATGTAAWAAACCAGCATGTCTCTCAGTTTCTGCAGTTTGGGGGGAAAAGATATTGCAGCTAACCTCCTTTGGTTTCCATCTTAGATAACGTAAACAGTAAAAATCAAATGTTGTACTGTTTTGAGGAATTCAAAATTTGTTTTATTTTGTGTCCAGCATGCATTTCTCTCTCTCTCTCTCTCTCTCTCTCTCTCTCTCTCTCTCTCTCTCTCTCTCTTTTTGCCAATTCAGTAGAAAGCAGAACTGAATATCTGAATATTAGTATCTTAGCTTCTTCATCATCAGTGGCTTTTTTTTAACAAGAAAAAGTAAGAGAATAGTGAAATGTAATAGAAAATAGTGAAAGAGAGATTAGAATATATGTGTAATATATATAAAGAAACCACAAGACAACACACCTGACATCTTGGCTGTACACCCAGCAACAAAAATGCATATCTATAATTATGATGATTATAGC